AAGGCCCTTTTTTTTTTCTTTTGAAACAAAACAAGTCCCCAAATTGGTGGAAACTTACGCCACATTTTACTCCACGCAGGGGTCAGAGTTGACTTTTGACTGGCTGATTTATAGTTTGGGAATGGAAAACAATCCCTGAAAATTTGTGTGACGTTAACGATACCCTCTATTTAACCTGAGGCCGAAAACTCTTACACTTAAATTATCATTATTATATTAACCCATACAAAAAAATATAATGGAGAGCATAATTCACATAGAGTCAATACGCGACGCTCTCGTCAATATGTTGTCGGAAAACACAACGGAGGCTCGTTTAACAGCTTACCAAAAGATTACCAAGGAGCATATACCCCATTTGTCAAATGGCAGTGAAGTAGTTCTTGATATCATTTGGTGTCTGGATGCCGAATTTGCTGAGGGCTCTGTGGCCGTAAAGGATCTTGAGGCAACCAGAAAGAGTTTGGCAAGCTTTGTAAGCTTGGTGAAGGTAAGCTGAGTGTGAAAGGATTTGTTTGGAAAGCAATGTGAGAGAGTACAAGCCAAAGTAGTTGGGGTATTGTATACGGAAGTAAAACTCGAAATTCAAGTACTCGGTCGTATATATTGTATCCTAATTGAAAATAGAGATTGTCCGTAAAAGTCTGGTGAAGCGAGTATAACAGATATATGTTTCCCTCTCTCACAACAGCAAAAGCAAGCGTCTATGTACAGCCTAGCATCGATACTAACTACTCCATTTGTTCGTGTTAGGCTAAAGGCCTCTTCTCCGTTGAGCTTATGAAGAAAAGACTCGATTTTAAATGCCTCGAACTTGCAGGTGTTATAGATTCCGAGAAGGCGTTTTTCCAAAAATCTATAAGGATAAACACCCAAGTGGTGTAAGTAATTCCTTTACTCTACATAGTAACCCTCCCAGACGTTTCTTTGGAGCGACGTTCACCTCCTGTTACGTTCCAACAATTTATATCTTTTTTTTACTACTTTGTAGATATCGCCAACAAAAATACAATCTTCTTCACGAAGAATCGGAAGGTTACAGTAAAGTGCTAGCCCTTCTCGCCTCTCTTACATCCCCTCGTGTTTCTGTCATCCTCGATTATCTCCGCAGTTTTATCGGATACTTTGCCTTGGATCCTGCTCGAGTACTCGATATAATACTTGACTTATTTATTCATTCCCCGCATCGATACGAATTTTTCCTGAATCTCATCCGGGAATCAGATTGGAGTCCTATCTCGGTTGATGAAGATAAAAGTTTGGAAACGACTGGAATAAGTGAAGATGGAAATTCGGATATTGCAGATTTGTTGGGACATAAATTTAAACAATATAGGAACGAGGATTTCGACGAGACTGCGCCGAGAGAGTTGTATTTGGTATCTGCTATATTAATAAGGGAGGGTATTATTAAGTTAAAACATTTATATGGACATTTGGTTACTAAAGAACATGAGCAAGAAATTAAACTTGCTTGCGCATTACTGGATATATGCGACATTGATCACGCAAAGTTGGTGACCTACAATTTAGAGACATTGGACGAGACAATAACTGATAGATTATGTTCAGTAGTACACTTGGCTATTAATGATCTTTACAATCGAGAGTGTCGAATTGGACAAGAAGCTTCAAAGGAACGGGATATATTAAGAGGCACCACTTTTTATCTTACTTACAAACCATGGAGATCTGGTCTTCCCAAGTGGACTACATTAACGGACATTTTATCTCAGTCAGCGCAAGAATATATTCGTTTAATTGGAAGTGGCTTTTCAAGGGATTTATTATTATTTACAAAATTATTAAGACTTGCAAAGAGACATATTATTGTCCTACAAAAAGACAATTCACCAAATAAGCAGAACAAAGTTTCAACATGGATCGATACCGTTCGTACGGCACTGCTTCCAAGTATAACTGTTGGTGAACTGAATCCGGGCACAGCTGACGATGTCTGGGAAGTATTGTTGTCGTTTCCATACGAGATAAGGTACAAATTATATAAAGAATGGAGAGATAGCGTTTATGATCCCGATAAGAAGGTGTACAAAAAGCGTCTGGAGACGAGGAAAACAATACGTCAGGTGATGAAACGTATTACGTCCCAGAACGCTAAAGAAAAAGGAAGAGAAATCGGGAAGACGTCGCATGGTGATCCAATAACGGTGTTGGCTGTTGTCATTGAGCAGATACAATGGTATCAAAATATGATTCCTGCCTTGGTGGAGGCAAGCAAATATTTGACCTCGCTTAGCTACGATGTCATGACGTTTTTGATATTGGAAGCTTTTACAAACAATAAGAAGCAAAAAATGAAGGAGAGCGGGGAGAATTATGAAGACTGGTTTAAGAGTAAGTAAACATTGTCATTGATCATTATCGCTATACCGTATACTGAATTCATAATTCCATTACCAGACCTGGCAGAATTTTGCGGGGATATGGCTCGCCGATATTCACATCTCGATATAAGAAGCATCCTTGACTATATAGCTGTCCGTCTTTCAAACCCAACGGAACCCGACCTCCCTGTACTGAGCGAACTTATATCAGGAATGAGTGGCGTTAAAAACGACAAGGATCTTCTTGATGACGACTTACCGTATTTAGGAGCGCATGAGACGCTTCGCAAAGAACGTATCCATCTGAAAATCAAAGATAAAAGCATTCGACGAAGCTCTGCTCGATTAGTAAACGCACTCGTCGATAGCGGTCTGGCCATTTCAATAGCAATATCGCTAGCCCAACTCAAGAAAGCAATCATTTATGGTGAAAAGCATACCGACCTGAAGCTGTTAAATAGTAACATTGATGAATGTCAGGAAACATTGACACAATATTTAGAATTTCTCAGCTTAAACATCGACTCGAAATCCTATTCATCCATTGTACCAACGGTTAAGGAGTTATGTTTGGATCACGGAATCGATCCAGAAGAGGCACTTGCAATCGCACGGCGGAAGCTGTCACATATAGTCGAAAAAGGAGGACCGTCAACGCCAAAACAAACTGATGATGAAGAAGCTCCAGTCAGTGTCTGGCAGCAAGAACTCACCGAGACAATAAGCGACGTCGAGCAAATCTTACCTTCGCACATATGGCGAGGTATATCAGCAGGATTTTACACTACTTTTTGGCAACTATCTCTCTATGATATATGCTATAAAAAAAGCATATACAGCACATTTGCTCAGAAAGCGATCGAAACATCAAAGAATTTCAAATCAGATATCGTGATGGGCATGCGTGAGGAGCACGAGAGGCATGTCTCTCGAATAAGAGCGCGTCTCAATCAGGAAAAGAGTCAATGGTTCACCGAGAATCGTTCAGACGTGATTGCTACATTCTGGCAATATTGCATGTTCCCAAGGATATTATTCTCTGCTGAAGATGCGATATTTTGCGCACGATTTTTGGAACTTATTCAAGAAATCGGGGCAGACAATTTTACTGCTCGTCTGTTCTACTCTGAAGTTTTCAGTCCCGGACGCTTACCAGATGTCATTCCGCATTTAACAGAAGAGGAATCGAAACATTATGGTCGCTTCCTCGCATATGTATTGGAATATTTCACATATATTAGCAAAGACGAACGGAGGTACAGAGAGAAACTTCTAGGAATCGGACAAGCTGATTTCAAACCAACGTGGCTACAAAAGGTTGGCGGTCCTGCGACAACTTTTGATCAATTTGTCAGAATACTCGAGAACCATCACAAGCGCCTCATGATGACATTTAATATTTGCTTGAAATCGACTGAATCGACTAAAATACGCAATGCGATTCAGATTCTCCGTGCAACCAGTGATCAATTCCCAGCTACCCGCGACCACAGTCAGAGACTACTCGAGTTGATTCAAGTGATCGAGTCTGATTCTCGACCAGATATCAAAACACTTGCGTCGTCGTACAAAGCTATATTAATAAAAGGGCAGAAGAATCTCAGCAATGATTCACGCGTTACTCAGTCTTCCAAACCGATTGAAGCCTCTAGCGTAAGTCGAGTATCTGCATCCAGTGCACCCATAGAACGTGTAGCAAGCCCACGTCGGCAGATTCATCCGCTCCCCGACAAGCCTAAAAACGACAAACCTCGCAGTACTCGCGATAAAGAGAAAGTAGATCCTGTTTATGATGGTGATAAAGACAAAGATCCGCGTAAAGAATACCACGATTCCCATAAAAAACCTCCAACTACTCATCCGCCTCGCGATAAAGAGTTTGAAAAGGACCGGAGTGATCGTCCTAAAATCGAGCGCAAAGATCGAGAGTCGCACAAAGATCGCGAGCGCGAACGCGAACGCGATAAACCCAAAGACCGGGAAAAACGTGAAGAACGTCGTGACGATCGTCGCGAGGAAAGAAGAGACGAGAGAAGAGATGAAAGACGAGATGAGAGAAGAGACGAAAGAAGAGAAACTCATCGTGATGACCGGCGTGAGGATAGGCACGAGAGGAGGGATGAGAGACGGGACGCAAGAGACGACAGACGAGATAGTGAAATAAGGGATAGAAGCCGTGAAGAAAGATCAATGCGGGAGAGAGAGTCGGAGAGAGAGAGGCACAGAGATAATAGAAGACGGCACTTGGAGGATCCAAGGAGGGTTATCTCAATTGCACCATCTCGGCCTACCTTGCGTAGACCCGCCAGTAGTGGAGGGACTAATAATGGAACTATTAAAAGGGATAGGGATGATGATGACGGACTAGAGCCTAATTCCAAAAAGATAAAACCTCTACCTGCACCACCGTTGCGTACATCGCTTAGAGTACATGGACGGACTTTGAGGAAAGGAAACTAAAGTTGTTGATTAGTGAATAGACGTTTGTACAATTAAGGTTGTTTATATTATAATTATACGCTGAATTGCTTTTATTACTGTAATGTGTCTATTTACTAAACAATTTGTAAATAATCTCAAGTCAATAAATAATCAAGTCAATAAACGCATGAAAAAAACAATTGAACGAGCGAACGAATGATACGACCGAGTGCGTTAAATAAATAAATAACATCCAAAGATTGAACTTATAATTATAGTAACAAATGCGTTATAATTGACAACTGTCGATGCAACATTTGTGCTTGTAGTCGAGTCCTCAACAAAACCAACCCGCGGATCCCAAACAACGCTCGTTGGCTGCACAGCATCGAATTTGAATACAACAGTCTCCAGCTGCTCTGAAGCAATAGCGTCATCATCTGTCGAATTTCCATTTGTGAACTGCTGGAAAGCTTTCCAGACAACATTTGTTTCAGCGGATATTGTCATATCTTTTCCGTCCGCGGTTATAGTTTTTGCCCACTCTAGTCGACCGACGCCTGTCGTGTTGCTTGAAACTGTAATTTGGGCATTGTCTGAATTTAGGGAAGATTTGGAGCCAGCCGTAGTGAAGACAATATGGACAATAGCTATTTTTGAGTTTTGATACTTGTAAGGAAAGTTGGAGAAGGCGAGTGAGTACTTTATATCAGAGGGAAGAAGAGTAGCACCATTAATTGACGTTTCGGTTCTGTGAAAAATTTAAAAATGAGAGAGGTGGATTGACAAAATTAATCAGGCTGAAGAAAGAAGAGCTTAAAATTTGTAATTGATAATTAGTCCATGTTAATTGTCAAGAATAATACTTACTCTGTAGCATAAAGACTAATTGTCGTGGTAAAAGGATTTGCTCCTCCTGGGGCAGTAAGGGTAGTATTCAGAGTCTTTAGACCATTGTCTCCGTCATTGAACTTGATTTCATCCCACAAGGGCCCTTTCCCAAAATAGGTAAACGCACTATCACTATCCTGTACGGCAATGGTGTCATTATATTCTATTAACGCCACCAAAGCAGCTCTAAAGGTGGATCTATAAGTGGTATCATTGACATCTTTGTATGCTGCAACTCGAATGTGAGGAACGTAAACTGTTGAAAATCGGAATTTATACAGGCCAAAGACACTGGCGGCAGGGTCTGTGGATTGAGAATTTATTACAACTGTGTGAGGAAACTTGGTAACGGATATCTTTCTATTTACAGCTGCATTCGCCGAATATACGAGGGAAAATACGAGGAGAGAAATAAAGAGTGAATAAGCAAACTTGTGCATCTTTGGTTAGTGTTAAAATTCTATCTAGTATTTAAATTCATCAAAAGCAACCCCGGGGATGCGTGTTGGAAGGTATTTATTCACGCAGCTTAATGTGACATGTTAATTTTCGGTATGGAATAATAAACACCAATCAACGTATTGTAATTCGTTTTTGGAGTTTGACAAATGGTTTTATGAGTTGAACAAATTAATGATTAATTTCGTGTGACTGCATCAAGAACAATACAACATATTAATTAAATACGCGAACAAAAATAGGAAGTTGGTCATTAGCATGTGACTAGCATTGAGTAAGCACCAAATAAAATAATGGATTACTCTACTAATACAATTAAATGACTCGCTTGACAATTTTGATTCAAGTCAAGAGATTACTCCTGAATATAATCAAAGTAATGCTGACTCGTCTTGAGCAAGTGAATGTCATAATCAACGCGATATGTTTATCTCCCGTGATGCTCTCATTCGAGTTGGTATGCAGTCAGCATAGGAACATTGATTACAGGTTTGCTGTCTTATATAGCAAACTTGATTCGTTTGGCAGCTGTTGTAACGAGAAGACCATGGAGAAAAAACGCCTGAATAAATGCTTACGAGAGGACTATTCAAATGCCCTGGCGCTTGACAGTGTACTTACTTACAAATAGGTATCATCTGTATGCAGACGATGCAGTCGTGTGGAAGACCGAGCACAAGAGGAATAAACAAAACAATGAAGGAACAGAGTACAAAGAATTTTGACATTTCTTATCGTATTACTAGTTGGAACGACGTCCGATCAGTATTCCAAGTAAACTTGAACCAAAAATACCCAGGCTCGCCAAAAGCCCACATATACGTGTGAAGTTTTGAGTTCAGGTGATTGTTCGTGATTTTATAATTGTTCAGGTCTTTATTATTATGGCTCGTAAGAGATTTAGTACGATGATCGGCAGTATTTGATTGGGACGTCACTACGCCATATGTTTATTAATACAGATAGATGCTACTCCAACTTCCCGGCTCTAATTTAGTCTCTTCAACAATAGACACTCCTTTATTCGGCAACAGCAACGAGAATAGAATTGTTGTAAAAAGAAAATTCTCTATACTTGTCCTAGTGAATGAGTCGGCTTACTAACCGTAACGACAAATCTAATTAATTTCAATACGCGGTTGTAGTGTTTTACAAGTGAAACTCGATATAAGAAGCTCTCGATATAAGAAACACTAATTAAAATTTGATACAAGAAAGTTGAGCTGAAAAACAGTCTATATAAAATCATCTCCATATAAGAAAGTTACTATATAAACTCTCGGTATAAGAAGGATCTAAGATTTTTACTATGGCTCCCGATCACTTTCTTATATCGAGAGCCACTTGTATTATTATTATTTATATTATGAAATGATTGGCATTGAACAAACGAGTCTACATCAAGTAGATCATATCACGTTTCCTATTTCCTCATCAACCAAGCAGATTACTCGCCAACCACGCTTTCCATTTAGAACGTCATGTCTCTCTCTGCATAAGCCGCTATGTGTTCCTTGTGCAAAAAACGGTAACATTTCATATACGATATATTTGGAACTCTGTGAATCACAAGATACTAAACTAACATGACTTTCCCACTCTTATTCCGAATAGATCTAATATTTCATCATATTGTAGATTACACATTGTGTATGAGATTTGTGTTAATTGGAAACCTTGGTTAGAGTGTATGTGTCATGGTACGATTGATCATTATTTATTAGCATTACATCTACTCATACTAAAATATTGCAAACTCATGCGCCACATATGTATTGTTCTCTGATTACTTCTTTGATATTTGTTACACAGAGAGAAAATTTCTTGCAAATTTTGACTTTCACGAATTAGTAGAACACAATATGCCCAAATCAAAGAGAGCAAAACTCGGTACGCTAGCTGATCAAGCGTTTTGTGCTGTATGAAATTACATAGTGACTAACAAGTGCTATTGATAGTTCATTTGACTGCAACTGGGAAGAAGGGAAAGGAGCAGAAAGAACGATTAATTAATACTGTAATGGATGTTTTTCTATTACTTGGAATCACATTGATGATCGTGAAAGTCTGATTTGACGTCCTGTTGGTTCTATTGCTATTAGATTAGGAAGGCTGTCGATGATTATGAGTATATTTGGTTATTTCACACAGAGAGTTCGAGAAATGGTCCTATAAAACGTGTACGAGCTGAGTGGAGCTCGAGCAGGTAAAATTTCATCTAGTGAAGCAATGATTCGATTGATAGTCTTGATGGAAAGGCTATCGCATACATGATGTCTTCTTCATCTGTTCAATTCTGATTTCCATACACTTCTTTTCATCCGTTAGAATATTCTGGGGTAAAAACAAAGTAATGGCTATAGCTCTCGGCACAACACCAGAATCAGAATATCAGCATAATCTCCGTCTCATTTCTCAGTGCTTAACTGGCGAAGTTGGTTTGTTATTTACAAACATGCCAGTGAATAAAGTACTTTCAGACGCAGACATGTTTACAGAATCGATACATGCACGTACTGGGTTTATTGCGACCGAGACAATAGTGATTCCAGAGGGACCGGTAATGTTGGGAGATGCACCAATGCCGCATAGCATGGAACCACAACTAAGGAAACTGGGAATGCCAACTATGTTAAGGGACGGTGTTGTAATTCTGCCAGTAGACTATGTTATCTGTCAAAAAGGGAATGAATTGAGTGCTAACCAAGCGCATTTGTTGGTAAGATTTTTTGGGAATTTGAATGGGGAGAATAGAACGATGTGACTTTGAATATAACAGTTAATTGATTTATCTTGTTACTTTTCTCCTAAAACACATACAGAAATTATTTGATATTAAACTGGCACACTTCAGACTTAAACTCGATTGCTACTATCACGGAGGAGAATTAAAAAAAGTTGATCAATGACTAGTCGAACATTGAGAGGCAGGATCCTACAATATATAGATAGATAGAGTCGTCCGATAATGTATAAGCCAAGTAATGTCAAGAATAACAACTATTTACTTGTAATATACATTCGTTTATAATATTGGCAGTTGATGTTAGGCAACGAACGAACCATGCTGTAAAATCTACTGACAGCACGATTAGAATATTGTCTTGTTGATCTCGAAAGGATGTTGTCTTTACTATCAAATCTACTAATTGTAGTAGTGGAATAGTAAAGATGTGTTCACGTCCTTTCTGACAGTCAATGGAAGACCAGAAGTGGTGTGGGCATTATCGGACAAAAGACGTGCAAAAAGCCGGTCATTGACAACCAAGCATTTGACTGTATTATTACATTGTTTATGCAAAATTAACGTCGTTTTATTACTTGTTTACACGCATATCTCTTCAATATTCGAATCGCCGTCTTTAATAAATAATCCAGTTTGTACGGAACCAAATCATTTTCGTATAATCTTCTATATTATCGACGGGCATTGTCGTAAGCGGATCGGATTTGTCTATTATATCACTGTTACTAAATAATGAGGAAAGTGTACATGAATGTTTATACGTCAATCTAAAATATGTTTTTGACAAACGACCACATACACCGATACATTACCACTTTATATTCTTCCAAGCCATCCTTTATCAATACGAAATAAGGTGTAATACCATCTTCGCGATAGTTTAACAAAGCAACCATGCCGTCTGGATTCATGCTTTCACCGGTATAGAATTCCCAATCTATTGTGATCAAAGACCGAATATAGAATTAAGTATAACGAAACAAGTCGTTACTCCGCTCTGTATTACAGATTATAACACCTACCTTTAAAATTCCCAATAATTTTCTTAAAGTGGACCTGTGCCGCTTTCTCAAACGCGGACACCTCTTCATCGCTCTTTCCCGCTTTTTGTAGACGAGCCTTGAGAGCCTTCAAATAGCCTTTTATATATGTCATGTATGATTTCTTATCAAAGCTCGTTGATTGTAAGCGAAATGAATGGACAACATTATTCACTCTTTCTGTGGTGTCGTCAAGCTCCTCTGCCTGTTCTTCTGCAGAAGGATTAGCACCAATGTCAACATCTCCTTCTTTAATAGTTATCATCTATGTAACATGTACAGAAGTAGGAAGGTTTAGTTAAGCCATCACGCCTGCCAACTTTACTCTAAGACCTCTTGTAAGGTTATTACCTGACAGTCAATTTCATAACTGAAACCGTCGACCTCCTTTATCGGATAAGCATCAGAGGCAAATTCGTCACCTATTTTTCATATTTGAGCGTATTAACAAACCAAGTTTACATATTCATTTGTAGAGTCTCCCTCACCTAACCCTCTCTTCCGCTCTCCTCTACTTTATGATAATGCTCACCAGAAATCAGGTCTCTGTAGATAATCATCTTAGTTAATGATGCTGGATGGATGGCAAACGAAAGGTAAAAAGTTTGATACAAGTTTGCGTGTTTGAGCGGTGGATCATTATTATTGGCTGCAGTGGACTATTTACGGATAGCCACCTTCAGCCGAGTTTAATAAAAATTTTGAGGATGAATTCCTATATTGGATATGCTTTGATCATGTGATATTTATCCTCATTTAAATAACAATCAAATATAATAATAATATTTTACTAATTAACTATAATAACTTTATTACACTGGTATATCATTTCCAGTACATATTTGAAACAAAAATAAATGAATTACGACGAAGACAGCGTGTCGTTAGACGTAAATCAACCAATCTTTGCTCTTACTCAATACACCAAATCCAATTTCCGCGATCAACCAAATCTTCCTTTGGTTTCTGCTCCACCTTCTTCAGCTCAACAACAAGCACCTCATTCAAGTGTTCCCCCGTTTCCCGAACTAGGCCTTGCCGTCGGCACAACCTTCAACTCTTGGGAAAATGTCGACGAATTTCTGCTGGCATATGGCCGACAACAAGGCTTTGTTGTCCGCAAGAAAAGGGTCGAAAAGGACGACGCAGGTTTAGTTCGAAAACGCACGTATGATTGTGAGCATGGTGGAAGGTATACACCGAAGAAGAAAGCACCATTGAGCGATCAACGAAATAGGAAGTCAAAAAGAATCGAATGCGGTTGGCATATTAATCTAAGTTATCCTAAGACAGGACATCATATTACCGTAACAACATTTATTAATGAACATAATCATGACCTGAATTGTGATTACAGTGGGAAAGAGCCTGGAAGATCAGGACGAATGTTTAGAGGGTTGAATGGACGTCGTAAGAAAGGACTTTATGCTGGAAGTTTAGAACAAATACAGGCGGAACCACAGCGACCACACGATGTAATGATGGAAGTTGAATCTGTACAGGCAATGGATGACGAAGGCGATGTTTTACCACCGCTGGATTCGCATCTAGCACATACACAGAATTTACAGCAACAATCATCTCAATCCCAAAAAGGAAATCAACGACAACAACAACAGCAACAGCAGCAGCAACTACGGCAATCACAGCTATCTGAGCAGCTACAACAGCAATCACAACAGCAAGAATTACAGCAGCAACCACAGCAACAACCACAGCATCAACAACTATCACAACAATCACAACAACGACGACAACAACAACCACAACAACCACAACAACAACAACAACAACAACCACTACAACCACTACAACCACTACAACAACCACAACAACAACTACAACTACAGCAACAACAGCGACAGCAACTACAGCAACAAGAACAACAACGTAATCACATATCTCACACAACGACAAGCTCTTCAACCTCCACATCCCATTTCGCCCCAGCACAGTCTCAGGCACAAACACAAACACAATTCACTTTTGTTCCTGGCCGTTACCGTCCATCTTCCTTGATTTCCCACCAGACAAATTCGAATTCTATTCATTCACATACAAAACATCGATCTGCATCAACCGCTTCGTCCGCAAACAATACTGCAATTCCACCCCAAATTCTCGAGGAAATAAAGTTCTATACAATTCATGGAAATCTTTCACCGCCCATACAACGTTCATTGTTGAAATGCAAATACCCTAATATTCCCATTTCGGTAAGAGACATTACAGCCGCAATACAGAGAATGCGATCGAATGGGGAGAGAATGGGTTCGGAAAGGTGGGAAAGTGTATCGGAAACGAGCAACAATGCGTCGGATGGTAACGATATGAAAAGAATGTGGCTTTCAGAGCTGTCACGAAAAGCGTTGGCATTAGCTATTGAGTGTGGAGATGATAAGTATGAACAATTATTAATGGATTATATCAACGAGAAAGCAAGCCCGAGGTGCGAAAGAGAACAATAACGGGTTTCGGTAGGAGCGTGTGGAGAGGAGGACAAGCAATGTATGCAACATAGACACTAAATATGGAGTACGGGACAACGGCATCCTGGATCCTGTTTTGCATTAATTCTATATACATATAATATATAATGTTCTCGTGAGTTTGTTCTATGAGCAATTCGACGAGGGTTATTGTAATTAATATTCCCCCCTTTTTTTAAACGTAATAAAAGCAACTGTAAATTTTCTTTTTCGGATTTTATAGAACAAGTGGGCTTACTGAGGGATATTTCGGTGAATATCAACGCGTACGACGTGTATTGGGATTTTTTGGAAAAGAAAAAAAGAAAAAAAAAGAACATTTGATACAAAAGGACCAAAAACTTTTAATAAATTAATTTAAGATTTTTTTTCTAACCTTTAATCGTTAGCACCCTTGTTCTCATCCTCCATCTCAGTATCATTCACTCTATCATCCAACTCATTGACGATCAACGGCTTTAAAGCACCAAACACCAACTCCCCAACCCGATCATATCCCGCAGGAGTAAGATGCAGTTTATCGTAATCCCAGTATTTCTGTACGTCCTCATCTGAAAGGGATGCCAGGGGGAAGTCGTGGGTGAGATCGTAAAAGAACAGATTGGAAGAAGAAGCGGGCGTTTGCATACGGCCCTCAATGTAGGATTTGATCATCGCGTTACTTTGCGAACGGGATCTATTATTTCGTTCACTTGAATTCACCTTGAGAAGGAAAGGGGAGAAAGTTTAAATCGTATATTATTTGGATAGAAATCGTTGACGAAAGCGAGAATTGAATACAGCAGACGTCACCGGATGTCACACCCACCAATAAATGGATCAAAAATGCTACATGCATTCTTATGACCTACCCATCCATTTTCCAAGATAGACAATGCGAGTACTTTTGCGTTGTATTCTTCGCAAATATCATACATCTCTTTCAAAGACTCGAAGATCTTGTTTGCAGACGGTGAAGCCAAGTCATTAGTTCCTATCGAATAATGGAGTCTTGTTACTAAAACTGTTCATAATTCGAAATTCCAAAACTTGGACGAGGTCAAAAATCCAATTTATTAACCAGCCATTATCACAACCCAATCGAATTTGTTCCCTGTTTCTCGTCTTGCTGTTAAACTTTCCCGCAACCGCTGCTGCATTGTACCGGCACAGACACGCTCACCCGAGACACCCTTTTGTTCTATCTTTTCAGGGAAAAAACAATGAACCCTTTTTTTAAGTTCCCGGTATGAATTGCGATTTTTTCTCAACAAGTTTTCTTACCATAACATCAATTCCAGCCTTATCGAACAGCTTTTGCAGAGTTTGAGCATATGGATGAAACACAAGACCATATTGCGAGTAACCTTCAGTGAGGGAGTCACCAATAAGAAGAATAGAATAGGGCATTTTTAAAAAGTGGTGTATGCGGCGAGACAACATTTCGTGATACGATAATAAATCAATTTTTGAAAAAATTCCCCACCATTTACTGCGATTAATACAACAAAAGGACGGGAAGATTGTTGCCAACATTATGAGTTATCTGTATAGCGTACCTTATCAGAAACTCTTCTTTTCCCCCAATAAGTAATAATGTACGTGCAACATGCCGTACAGCAGACAGAATAATTGAGCAATGGGAGTGTCTTTAGACAAACCGTCTCCACGATCGCATTATTAATGCCCTTTCATAATATTTGAGTTAGAAATAAAGTTAAGATTATTGCAACTGATAGGTATAAGACAGCCAGACAATGACATGTAAGTTGGATCATGATGATGAGGAGGTAAATATAAAACCGGATCTTACTTTATTAAATATGAACAGCGCCAATTGAGATCACTGCATAGTATCATTATTTTTATAATACTGCATTCATTGCGTGATATTTTTCTTAAGGACTAATTTACGTCCCCTATTGCTTAATTAAATTGATTTGTCATCAAGTAAAGGCAGATCTGGTAAGCAAATTATGCGTTTACAAAGTATTTTGACAGATAGGATTCGTTCCAATTTATACAAAAAAGAACTGGACATGAACCATGGCAATTATCAAAAGCTGTGACAAGTATATCGGAAATTCTGATTTCAAGCCTATCACTTTAGTCGAACCTTACTTATGGATCCGCGTTAGAGTACTTTAAAATAGTTTTAGGCGAGTTGATTATTTTGCAATGGGACTCACTAATGCCCTATTTCTGATGGAAAACATCGGAATTGTTACAAGGCGAAATGGTATAGAACTGGGAACAGAATATTATCTTACAATGATATGGAACATCAAGCGCAGCTGTTGTATGTCAAGTTTGGAGTTTATTGAATAAAAGCCCGGGCAGATGTTTTCTATAAATATACGAAAATATCCGACGTGTTGCACGACTCAATATTCTTCTCAGTATAAATAGCTGACACTGGCTAATAGTTTGACCGTTATATTAATGCGGATCGATCAGGTGATGAGACACAAACTGTAGAAGCTTCAACGGTAAAGCCTTCGATATTCTTAATCTTCGGACAGGGTAATTATATTATCACTGAGTTTAGTTCTGGCGAGTTAAATTTCTGTCAGATGACTTGGTGTCATCAATTCAAGAAACGTAATTTGTTTACCTAGCACAAATGTGTGGATCGTGTAAATATTTGACAAACAAATTTCCATTTGCAGGTTCCTGAAAATACGTAACACTGTCGAAGAATGTAATAATACATACAAAAGGTACGAATCTGGAGGTTGATAAGTATAATAATTTAATAATATATAAGCGCAATTGAGGAACTTGATTAAGCTGTCGAATGACTGTGTACATGCAATGAATATACCCAAACATCAATGAATATATACGATATCTACATTAATTAATAACATTAATTACAATTAATACTTAATAACGTTCGATTTCATCTTTACATGATATTCTCCTTGTTAAAACATTGTATACTCCAATATTGGCGCACCCATCTCTTTGACTTCTGGGATGGTACATTTCAGATTAAATGCCTTGCTCAGTACAATTTTAAATATTTTTTGAATATTAATTGAACACGACGTGCTTGAGAAAATTAATGGTGCTTTCATTGCCCGTGCAAATCTCCTGGCCTGTTTGGTAATTTCCTCTTGTTTTTCTTTGGGAAAACCCGCAAAGGTATCGTATTTAGTCCCGATAAGGAAAGGAATAGCTGATTTATTGAACCCGCGGGCCTGACGGTACCATCCTCTGATAGAGTTGAGAGTGGCTTCACGGGATAGATCAAACATGAAGAGAATCGCTACTGCTTCGTTACAGACTAGGGGAAGCATGTTTACGAATTCTTTTTGACCTGTTTACAAACCGAAATGGAAAGTAAGACTATTATTAAAATTAAGGTCAATCGTTGACTATCAATTGTTTCGGTAACGTACCACCGAGGTCCCATATGCTGAAGGTAATGTCAGTATTTCTGATACAGACAGTCTTCTCCATAAAGTTAACGCCTGTAACAGATTAGCAAATTTGTCATTTCGTCGTATATTTCATTCATACTCATCAATGCCGGTTTGCCTTATATACGTACCCAAGGTCTGAATATAATCTTCGTCAAATAGACCTTCAACATACTTTACCATCAGACTCGTTTTACCGATCTGTGAGTCACCCACCATTCCTACTTTTACGACATAACTGCGCACCGGACGAGTCAGTCGATCATGCAGTAAGTACTAAAAGCAATGCCTCCCTATCCTCGAGTTTCGCTCTCATCATTACTTACTTGTCTCTCCTACCCGTTGCTTCTTCCTTCTTGGCCATACTGGTGTATTTGTATACTCCAATACTTCCAACAAAATCAGAAGTACTTGTAGAAGAGCTATTCTTAAAAAAAGAGAATGGAAAACGAATGTAAATGACTGTTACGAGGGAGAATGAAAATTACTATTAAGAGTAGAATATCAGTAGAAAATATATGTACTCTGTGAATGACGGATATGTCAGCTCAACAATACATATATGCGATCAAAGTGACCTTTACATTTAAGCAATGCAAGAAAATAAAAGGCTGCCAAACTCACAAAGTCTTTGACGCTCCCCTCTAAGCAAAAGGTTTTGAAACGGTAATACTATCGAAGTGAATTGCGACTATATTTAAGGGGGTGTGGTGATATAGGGGTTGTTGCTGTTTCGTTGGTTGGAGAAAAGGTATACGAATAGAATTTGGTTAAATGTATTTCGGAATTCACTAACAGATTCGGTGTTCGTATTTATATCAATATTCCAAGATCTATTCTGTTTGTGCATTGCCTATATTGGGAATCGTGTAATTAAGGGGGTTAGGGTCAGGAATTCTAAACTAACCAAAACCAGATGTACTAAAAAAAGCGTTTGACTACATTAATATAGAACATATTCCATGATCCAAGCTTCATAACGTCATTAGGGCCTCATCCCAATTAGCCGGGTTGTAGGTATCATTCATATCCACCGTTCACATTCTCTACAGCGTTCGAAAAGTTCTACTGCATACTGATTTTTAAAGTCCGGCATAACGGTCACAATTTAGCCGAACTTCTAATAAAGTCACATTTCCGATAAATCATCACAACTTTCGAAGCCAGTTAAGGGGGTTTGCAAAATTTATCATAAAAGCTTCCGTAATTTATATCATCAAATTCCCATCATGCAAAATATCCATATCCGAATGTTGTTTTAATTAATGAGGTATGACACGCAAAAGGCAAATGCTTGAAAATGGCTTTGGAGGTTAATGACCGCGCTAACTACATACTGTGCCCTGCAATGTTGATGATGAATATTTGCCTGAAAATCCACCGAGAGAGAAGATGTCCATACGCAAAGACGAATCTGTCATACTTCCAAACCATTTCGTGATCCTACTGGGTGTAAAAATCAATCATCGATTCGAGTGCAATGGAAACGACTCTCCATTATTATATTATGACAACAGCAGGAAAAGCGGATGGAAATACAACATCACCAGCAACCCGCGTCACCGTCAATATTCAGCATCACAATCAACAGCAGCGCCAACGTCATCGTCAACAACAGGACGTAAGAGATACCGTACACACAATGCCATACCCTGACGATACGATTTATGTAAAGTTGAAGAGGATAGCGACAGCTTCCAAGCTATTATAATTTGTTTTGTAATTAGTTTTAAAAAAAAAACAATTTTGTTGCAAGGGTGAACTTGCAATCTCGTGAACTGGACAACTGTTCGAACAGCTGATTGTTCATGTATATAACAGAATCGCTTGGTTCTGCTATTAGAATGCTAATCTCCGAATTTAAGATAATATGCCATTCATAACCCAACACCAAGAATTCAATGCTCGTGGATATACACACATTTGTTAATTGTAATTGTTGTCGGTGTGTAAAAAAAATTGACACAGAATATCAAGTACGATTTGAATATGCATAAATCAGGCTTGATTCTTTGAATACGCGAAATTAATTTTCGGATAGCCCATAACTTAAAGCAGTAGCTCTACCCAATATCTCATTACCATTACAAGCTATTATCATATATTAATAGCTAAACTAACACTACTAATAATACTCATACGCGACCCCAATTATTTGTGGCTCCACCATGTTTGGTAAAAGGAGAGGTTATTAAGCCATTAATGTTGATTAAGCTTATTATACAAGTGTCTGGCTACTTTCACAGCCGTGGTAGAAAGAAATTCGTTTAGGCTGTGTTTTGTTAAACACTGCTGTATTCAAGGCCGAAGAGAATTGGCAAACATATTACTGTTATATCTACCCATTCGCGTTTTCTCGGTGCGACAGCTCATGATTGGTTGGTGAAATGTTATTTCAAAAGAGGTTGGTTCACATGATCTACAAGAATGTTTATTAAGATAAGCCGATCTCTGTTCTTACCAAAATACTTGAGAAGAATGAACAGATCCATAATTACCGTTATTGGCACTACCGGCGTTGGAAAATCAGATCTGGGTGTGCAGCTGTCAAAAGCCTTACAGGGCGAGGTTGTTAACGCGGACTCCATGCAGGTAATTGCTCCTATCAATGCCAAAGAATAGAAATATGTTCTCCCTTATATAGTGAATTTAAGATTTACAGAAATAAGTCAATCTACCCCTTCCGCGGCGATAAAATTTACTAATTTCAAATTAAGAATTACCTTGTAGGTTTATAAGGGATTGGATATTATTACGAATAAAATAACTACTGCAGAACGCGAAGGAATCACCCATCATCTCATGGATTTTTTAGAATTACCTCGCGAATATAAAGTGACTGAATTCATTAATGATGCCACGCGAATTGTATCCCTTGAAAAGCCTTTATTGCCATTGTAATACGTTACTTGACCAAGAACATCTTTCAAATTCTTAACATATCAAAAGATTTGCGAAATTCACGATAGAAATCATATTCCAATAGTCGTTGGCGGAACCAACTACTACATTCAATCTCTTTTGTGGAATAACTCATTGGTTGGAGATTTATCGGTTGATAATGTGCCCGAAGAGTCAGAGAGTGACGACGACTTTGGAGAACTACTTAATGCGAATACAGACGTGCTGTATGAACGCTTACAAAATGTGGATCCTATTATGGCAAACCGGTGGCATCGGAAAGATAGACGAAAGATACGCAGAAGCCTGCAGGTCTATTCAGATAACTACTAGTCTGTTTCACATATTTGTTTGACCGCCCGTAGGAGGTTCTGACCGTGCTGAAATCGCATATTGATAATAGATATATTTGCAAACTGGCAAGCGACATAGCGATTGGATTGAAGAACAACAGCATCAAGGAGAGAGTGGGAACTCGTTAAGGTGAGATTAAAGATATGTCTTACTTTTATTATGAACGAATATTGGTTATATCATAGACAGTCAAATTTCTTAGATACCCTCGGACGTGCATTTTTTGGCTGTATGCCGAGCCTAAAGTACTTGATGCTAGACTTGATGCACGAGTGGATAAGATGATTGAGGTCTGTCTTAACAGAGGTTTCTGGCCATTAGAATTGTCTCTATAAATTATTTTGTTTATTTTCATATAGTCGGGGCTGTTTGACGAAATCATGCAACTTCGAGAAAAGTCCAACTCAACAGACGACGTTATTGTCCCGGATGGGACAAGCGTCAATTATACACGAGGAATATGGCAGGCTATCGGTAAGTCTCTACGCTTGCATGACGCATATTAATTATGACATTGCTGACGGGTGTCATCTAATAATTGGGCTTTTAGGTTACAAAGAATTCGATCCATATATGACAGCCCTTTCCTTAGATCCTCCCATCCACTCTGACAAGCTCGAAGTTTTGAAATCTAAATGTATCGATGCAATGAAAACGGCAACGCGCAGGTACGCGAGATATCAAGTTCGGTGGATTAGGAACAAGTTTCTATTAAAATGTGCGCGGGAAGGTAGTGATGATAATCTTAGAGTGTACTTGCTTGATGCAACCTGTATCCTTTTAATTTGATATTGGATAGTTGATTTCGGTTTGAAGGAAACTTGTACTGGTTCTTAAGTTGATTCTAGCCCTTGACGAGTGGGATCGTAATGTACGTGACACGGCTATTGATATCGCTAGAGGTAGGGATTTTTCTTTTGTGCATGATTCGCTGCGTACAAACCTACATATTTCAATGCATGCTATTTTCTGTTCACTCCAGAATTCTTGGCCACCGGGAGAGGACCGGATCCTTTTTCATTTCCACGTGCACAAGAACTATTAACACCAACCAAAAATACTACGTATGAATTCTTTTGCGTTTAGTTGGGACGAGTTCCGTTGATATTGCACGTTTACTAATTTCCAATTTTTAACTGTAATAGCCCATACGACTTAATACGCACGTGGAGCAAACACGACTGTGAAGTGTGTTCTTCAATAGAAGGAAGACCTGTTACGCTTGACGGTCAAAATGAGGCAGACCAGCACTTCAGGAGCAAAATGCATAGATCGAATGTCAAACTAAAAAAACAAATAGATGACTACCGGGATGGGGATATGCCGGAATGGTTAAAAAAGAAAATAAGAAAGAACCAGGAACGCGTACATGCTACCCGAAATATTGATGTCAATTCTTGAGTAAAATGCATTTCGTTGTTGCTAAACTCTTTTGAATTCAACATAATATTTATTTTGTCATTGAGAGTGAATTTAGCATGACCTCGATCCGTTTTTGGATGCAGCGAAACCCACAGCTAGTAATAATGCGTATTCCACATGTTTCGTCGTTATAAAGAAGAGCTGTATCACCCAATTGTCTTAATAACAATCACTTGATCATAATTAAACGATGTCGGATATATTAATTCACCCAACAGTTATTTTAGTAATCATTGTCAACGTTCGAACAATTGAATAATAATGTACGCATTGACTCTTTAGACAATTGAATGAGATCTATCTGGAAAAGTCATTACGGGGAATTCTCATTGATATATCATGCTGACGTCATTGAATATGCAAATAATTTACGGCAGTTCGATTGGCCCTTGATTTCCCTCACTTTTTTTTTTTCCTCGCAAGTTTATCGTTAGCAAAGATCGGCTATACGCGAATACCAGAGTAGCTGTGATGATTTACTATTCCCCTTTGTTCTTATACTCTTAGTTCTTTTACTTTTCAAATTTGGGAACACATCAAAGAATCGCTGTCAGAGCAAAACACACGGAGTGGCAAGACTTGAGGTCAAATACTGGTGTTTGTTCACCTTATTTCACATCTCGTCTTTTCCCTCACTTATGCTTTGGGGAAAGTCCCCGGACTCTCCGACAGAAAGTGTCACCCATAAAGTCGGTGTTACCTCTTCTTGCACGCTGCTTAAATCAAAGACATATGAGATTATAGCGGAGTGGGATCGGGAGAGGCGTTGGTCATTTTGAATAGTAATGCGATTGCGGTTTCTGTGTTTCGTTAGAGGCACAGAAGTCGTAACTCAATGGGGCTTACTCTTGAGGTGTTCCCAAATTATATTTATTCTATTATGTTTCCAAAATTGAGAAATATTGTCGATTTCGGCAGTTGTTAATTGTTCATTAATAACCTCAGCTCTTCGATTCCTTGAATAACCTATTTGATTCATAACTCTGTATCTATTTTAAAGTTCCTTTTTTTCCGATATCCCATCGATCTGCTCTGCTCGTCTTTTTTCTTCATCTCATGGCGACTGTTCTTTTATCGTCTTCGTGCAGTTTGCGCCGCCAGTTTTCTCCTACCTCGGCTTTGTGGGAAAAACTGTGGATCGAAATACCGGGGAGCGGCTTCTTTTAACCTGCGTTTAGTGAGATATGTTATGTGAGATTCATACATGTAAACATATTGACAACACTTGATATTATTAAAATACATTTTGTACCATGATAGTTCAACTTTTGTTACTGTTCGAATGAAATTCTTGGTTGTAAGTACGAATTCATTGTAGATGACCCATTCATACGGTTCTCTCAAGACGCTTGTTGGATGTATGGTAACAGCCTGCGCAGATAAAGAAGCAATGGAATTAAGAGGGTTGATTCGGAAAGCGGATAAAATGTCGTCTAATCCATACTTATAAACGATGAGATCTTTATTTCCCTTGATTGTAACTACTAACCCTTACCCACTCCATTCTCACCTGATTGTCTTGGCATGTCAACAATATTGATTCTCTTTCTCTATGAGCAGCTTGCATGAAGAAACCTGATATTAAAGCCTTTCTTATGTTAATAGAATACAGTGGATCTCGTATAGAACGTTTATTGAGTTTAAGGCCATTGCGTGTCAATATTTCAGCAAGTTGTGTTCTGATATTCTCGGCAGCTTTCAATGATCGTGGATTGAAGCTGTTCTCTTGACACCAGTCATCTCGTGATTTTTCTGAAAATATGAGATGTCATAAGAAAAATGAGCAGTTTTTTGATCCACTAGTTTGCAATGCTTACGTCTAGTATACTCTCTGAAAATGTTCAACAATGTCAAGTGGTCTCCATCAGGATGAACAAACCGCTGTTTCCTGGTGCGGGCATTGGCAGATGGCGCCTCCTTGACGAATATTATTGGTGCTATTTCCAAGATACAGAACAATCGTCAACATATTGGCAGTGTTGCTAACCCAGTCTAAAACAATCTTAACACCTAGCTCGAACAATGTTTCCTCGTCTTCGTCTGCACTTACCGCTCAATAAGGCAGCGATGATAATAATATCATCTGAACATCCGAGCCTATCGGATTCAATAACTATTTTACTCAGCTCGGGTGAGAGTGGAAATTGAGACATTAACTGGCCGATATGCGTGAGATTTATATCATCATCAATTGCACCAAGATAGTTTAACGATTCTAACGCCCGCATAAGGGTCTCCGGAGCTGAAGTGAGTAATAAAGCGAAAGGAAGAAACCAGCTGTGAGTGATGAGAAAACATGAATTATTGAAGACAACGTGAGCCGAGATTCAGAGTTTATAGAACAACTAATCCCCCCATAACGAATAAATATTACACCAATAAATGCGATCTGAGTATATTACAATATTACCTGGAGGATCCATAAAGTCAAATCTAAGCAGATCATGAAATCCAATAGCTTTCAGTTGCAATACAACTGAACCAATATTACTACGCAAAATCTCAGGATACGGTTGTTCTTTGAGTTGCTGCTCGTATGCAGTTTCAGTATACAAACGATAGCATTTACCTGATGCAGGAAGAATCAAACTGGCGTTAATCGAATTGGCATTTACTGATGATATTTGTTTACAAGTAAATATATTACGCCCCCCCCCCCTGGCTTAATTTATCGATTGGCTTCTGGTGCTCTCCGAGTAACGATAGCGAAAACCTACCAGGTCGCGTTCTTCCAGCTCTTCCGGCCCGCTGCTTAGCCGACGCTTTACTAATTGGACTGACCAACAATGACTCCACCCTAATCCTCGGATTATATACTTTCTGCTTTGCAAATCCCGTATCAACAACATAGACAACTCCATCAATAGTGATGCTTGATTCGGCGATATTTGTAGCTACAATACACTTTCTTCCCAATACACCGTTGTTACCAACTGGAGGATCATCAAAGACCAGCTGTTGCATATGAGGAGGAAGTGTGCTGTACAGTGGAATTACGGCCAAGGGGACTGGGGAGTTTCGTGACCGGATGATGCGACAAGCATCTTCTATTTCTTTTTCCCCCGTGAGAAACACAAGAATATCGCCGGGTGGCTCATTATTATGAATACGAGTGACGGTCTTGATCGCTTCTTGTACATAGTCTTTCGCCGGTTCCCGTGAATAGACTATTTGCACGGGGTATGTTCTGCCGCAAATTTTCTTAACAGTGAGAGAGATATTATAATTAACAGTGGGTAATTAAAGGTAAGTAAGAAGTTATCTATAACGGATACATACTATTACTGGTGCATTGTTAAAATATTTTTGAAACTTTTCAGCATCCAGCGTGGCACTCATTATAATGACTTTCAGATCACTCCTGACGCTTGCGATCTAAGTTCACGCAAACATAGACGAGATATTGTCAAGCATCCAATTCTATCCACTATGTCTTTAAGCTTCATTAAATTACTTCCAAGATTCGAACCTCTTTAACGATTCCCATCAAAATATCGGTAGCCAAAGTTCGCTCATGTGCCTCATCGAGTATAATCGCCTGATATTTCTCCAAACGTGGGTCTCCAATTGCCTCCCTTAACAATACTCCATCGGTCATGTACTTTAACATCGTCCGTGGGGTTGTTATATCTTCAAATCGAATGGAATACCCTACTTCCTCTCCAAGTTTGACATCGAGTTCCTCTGCCACTCGTTGCGCAACTGAAGTTGCAGCCACGCGGCGTGGTTGAGTGCAAGCTATGAGTCGTTGAGATAAATGTGGTAATAGGTCATACAGAAGATATTGGGGTATTCTGAAAGATGGGATGAAAAAGTTATAGCTTATAATTAATAAGAGGGTTTGTCTGTATTATTCGAGATTTCCCCTTCCCATGATTATAAATAGACATCTGTGTTTTGTTCACTAGTAGAAACGGTTCTCCCCCCTCTCTGTTCTGATTCTTCTCTTCCTAACCGATCCCTACTAGTCAAACATCTTCTAACGTCAACAAAAGGAATAATAAAAGCTATCTCGCCTCTTATTTCTCCTTCATTCTTTGCTTCTCTTATATTGTGGATTGCCCTCCCAAACTCACTGTGTAGTCTTTCCCGTTCCTGTTTCGCCAACAACTACAATAAACTGATTCGAATGCACCATTTGTAAAAAATTTTCTCTTTGCTCAAACACGGGCAATTGACGTCGTTTTTGGAGAATATCATAGTATCTTTGAGAAAATGGTTTTGAGGTAAAGGGGTTTATGGGACCATTTTCAATTTCAAAAGCTTGAAAGGACGTCGTAGCACCGGGCGTTAGCGAAGATAACAGTTGACATAGTTGGGTGTTGGAAGTCATGCTAAACTTTGACTGGGTACCGGAGATTATGACGGTTGAGACGGAGGGCTGAGCAAGGAGAATAGAGAGAAAACGGGGAAGCTCAACGACTGGCGATCGTTCTTGAGTAATAATATTAAGATGGATAGAGTAAAATTAATAAGGAGAAGCTCGTTCAAGTGAGTAGAAAGTATGTATAAAGAACCAATTATCAGTTGCCATCATCTTGCGGACTGTTATTACCCGTAGCTATTTCTTTGATGCTGCGGCAGACAATTATCAAACAGAGCTCGAGGCTCGAGAATTTTCAAATCGTGCTATTTACATTATGGTACGGTTATGGTGGAAAATGCGGACTATCAAAAATTACGTCATAACTGATACGCTTCCTCAATCAAATATTACTATACACGCATTCCGCGCGAGTTAACCATACTAATATTTATGAACCAAATCAACTTTTTAGAGTCAATTGCACGATCTGCCTAGGTTTTGTAAGGACTGGGCGCGTTGCTGGAGAAGATCCATTGCTCATAGAATGGCAGTAGTAACATCGCTTCAGCCAACAATACAGTCAACTTGATCTTGACCAAACGGATCATCAAGTGACTATCACAATCGAAATCTTTAGTATTAGCCAGATGGTTATAATAAAGGATGCGATGGAAACCAATCGTTTTATTATCATGGTTGGTCGAAACACGGCCAATCAAGGAATGATTCAAATGTGGGGAAGCGAGAAAGTGTTCACAATCAAACCCAACATTTGATTTAAATTACAAATGTATGCCCATATCGTTAATATAGTCCACCTTGTGTCGAAGCAATGGTGAGCACACGTGTGACGTAAGGTTAGTAAAAAAAGAAAAGAAAAAAAGAAGGGATTTAATATGTTTTACTGCGCCCAATTTTGAAAAAAATTCCTTTTAAGTCATGAGAAAAAATTTTTTGCTATCAAAAATAGCACTCTTCGGGAACATGCATATAGTCTGTTCCGTATTCTCTATATATCATTATTGACATTTATATGATTTCCGAGGTCAATATATTCACTTGATTGAAAGTGTCATGTTCTTATCTGTTTACAATATATTATTATGGTGTTATGTATTGCAAAATTCTCTATTCGTACGGAATGCATGTGATATTGTTCATCAACTGACTGTTCACTTCAATAGATGGGACTTTATGTTTGTTAAAGAACAGATGATCGACAATATGCAGTTTACGTTGTATACGCCATAGACTTCAACGTTATCGAAATCCGCGTATTGATAAGAACGCTACAACTCGTTGGTTTTAATCGCGGCAGCTGCTATGCTCTCTGATCATCCCTTCAAGTCAAACCAGTTACAGGGGAAGACGTTACGAATTTAGAACAAGAGTATCACTAGGATCACACAGAATGTGTGTAAGTATATATTACTATTACATCGTGTGCAGATGACGCTGCACCATTAAGGTTAGTTTATTTATATTGAGATTAGAGTGCTGTCTCCCACATCAGCAATTATCACTCATTCTCTGTTCATGAGCTGTTCGAAAAGAGTGAGTATTATTGTCTTGGGTTGAGTTCTAAGCGACTGAAAATACTCGCTCCGACGCATCCGTAAGTGGTCTTCAGGCTTCAATCATTTGACTGAAATATTTCCGTTAATCGTAAAAAAAAATTCTATTTGTCAATCGGATAGTTTAATCATGTCTAGGCTGCCCAAACCACCATTTGCCAGTGGCATACCGTCATCGGGACTGCCGACTCCCGGAAAGCGTCGTGCACTGAGCAACCCACAGCAGAGATCGTCTCCCTTTAGCGATCTCACCCCTGAACAAGAAGCACTTCTCCAAGAAGCTATGGAAAAATACAACCCCGAAGTTGCTACTGTGACGAAGGAAGTCCGCAATACTTCGTCCCCATCGAACTCGTCAGCTCTTCCTACG